GTAATGTGATTGTACGTTGTGGAATCATGATCGTGGAAGTCAGTGACTGTACATATATCCATATTCTGTGCTTCTGGTAACGATCTCAACAAACAACTCATTTTGTGAGCATTTATGCACGCAACTGATCTGTCAACAGTACAATTACCGAAATTATGTTGACTTAAAATGATAGCGCCTTTGATAAGATCCTGAAATCCTGCTCAACGAGTTGAACAATTATGTGCTGACAAACAGTTTTATGCGAAAACTAGCAATACTTTCAAAAAAGAAAAGGGAACTTTTATTCGGTATGGTGCTCCTTTTTGTCAGGGAGCGCCATTGACCGAGAAAAGCATTATGATATTTCGAAAAAGTTAAACTTTTGCGATTTTAGCGAGACCGCTATAGAATCATAACCGTGAAAGTTAGTGACTGTGCACGTATTTGCTTCTAGTAACGATCTCACCAAATAACTTATTTGACAGTTCTCCAGAAGACAGTACAAATATCAGGATCGCTAGCATGCTGACTATGAGGAGAAACAGCGTTGGCCGTCGCAACTATAGAATTATCAACCGCATGCACGGCAAATTATACTTTTAATTTACGGCTATTCCAGATATTCTAGACAAATAATCCTTCCGCATAAAATCCTTCGCAGTTGATAGTATTGGAAATAATAGCAACAGTAACCATGGTATTATTAATAACGGTGCTAATAATAATACTAACGATAATGAAAATTAAGCATATTATAAAATTTAACTGCGGTAGTAGAAAAATGAAAGCAGGAATAGAACAAAAGAAAAAATAACACAGTCCCGGACTAAGTTAAGATAATGTTGAATCTGGAACTGGCTAAAGTCTTGCCAGAAGTGGTTTTGCCGGGAGAGTCATTGAAAGAGTAATCTCTTAAGAAGGCGGAAGGGACGTTAGAATCGCCAGAAGCTGAAAATCAGACAATGTAGCATCGGTCAAAACAACCACGGATCGTTAAAAACCAAATAAATAACTTTCATGGTGGACTGGTGAATTCGTTCAAAAATATATTATTTTTAAAGGGACCTTTTTCTTCCATCCAAAAATTTTCTCGAATGATTCTTTGTTCGCTTTGCCAGCAAACAGCTTTATACGCTCACTAAAAAAAACGCATAAAATCAGTTCCATTTGATTTCTTGTTCGTGGTAACTTCTACTGTCTTATGCAGCTTTCACCAGCTTTCGCTTTCACTTTCCCACAGTCCCTCTTGTTCAATCCAAAGGTCACTCAAAAATGAAAAACCTGAGAGTTTGCAGACAGGCGAAAAAACAAAAAATAATAACATTTTGAAAAAATGTTGATTAAATTCAGCTGTAACTTACGTTGACTAACTAAAGTATCCAATTTTTTTGCATTCACTGCCTCTTGACGTGCACACTGGACGATTTTAAATGGAAGGAAATAAAATCTGATATGGCTTAAATTGAGTTCAGGGAGGCTGTTTTGGAACTGATACCTTCACCCTCGCGTTATCAGAAGTCAGAGCCCTAACCGTAAAGGTAGAGGCATACGGAAATATTTTGAGGGTAGCAGTACCAATAGCAACCATCCGCTGGTGGGGCTGTCAGTGGCTTCCTCATCCGAGGGTTGTTATCACTTGAAAGTAATTAGAAATTTGAAAATCTTGGCTAAAAAAAATTTTTTTTGGAGCTATCTCCACAGTTATTCTGTCAATAATTTTAGAACCTGCTTTTGCATTTTGATTTCCACGAAAGGCGGGAGTCGTTTGTTTGTGTATAAGCACGCCTAATAACAACAGCATTTAGCTCCTAACAATGGTTTTCCCTGAGATTTATTCTTTTATGAATCCAGTTGAAGGCAGAAGTAACTTCCCGGCGTGCTAAATACACCAATACCAATTTATTACAGAAATGATAGAGCAAGTCGTAGTGGACTTGGTTTTTGCAACAGTGACTTCGAGACCAAACTTAAGGCACTAGGCTGGAATACCAAATTTGCCCGGGAAAATTCCTGCAAAATCATATAAAATGTGCTTACTTAAGACCTTTAGCCGGAATGGCGATCACCTTCACTGCAGTGGCTGGACTGCTCAGAAGTGCCTTGGGCAGCAGGAAGCCGCTGGTGTCATTATTCCTTAATATCCGAACTACCTGACATAAGAGATCATCAGCATGCAGCTCTGCAAAAAAGATGAATTAACGAAAAAAATTTCAGAAGGAACAATTCAGGGGTCCCTCTAGGAGGCATATTTTTTATGCGTTTTTGCGTATACGAAGATGCAAAAACGCATGTTGGCAAGAGGCTGTTTGCGTGTGTGTGTTCATACTTTCTGTCACACACTTTCGACTTGAGAATCAGGAAAGCTAGAAGGCAGAAACTTCAGGAGTATGTGCCCATACCATGTGCGACCCTCCAGCTTCAGTATCATCATCTACGTCCGCCTGGCTCCCATCCACGGATGTCTTAAAAATATACAAATTTTTGTGGCAGGAAAGAGATCTCGAAAACCAGATAAGACAAGGAGCCGAAAGCTTGCATAGATATTCTCCGTGCATGTGTTGCATATGTGAGCCAAAGATTTTAAATCCAGCCCCTGGGTACTCGTGGTTTTCGCATGCGGGCGCATGAAATATTTAGCGGGAAAATTGATAACTCGGGAAATAGAAAAGCTGAAAGACTGGAAAGTTAAGAAGATGTTCCCCGTTCACGTACAACTGAAAGATCTTCGTCCACATACAACTTAAAGATATCAAATGAATTTGAGATCAACCCTCAGGTGCGCGTGGTACTCACGTGCGGGCATATGAAGATTTTGGCGGGGAGATTTTTCGTTGAAGAGCTAGGTCGCTTTTATGGAACAATAGCTAAGCGGAAATTGCTCATTTTCCTTTAAATTTACGATGATTAACTGTAGGGAGCGCACGAGGGGCAACAGCCATTCTTAATGGTAACGACCTGATTACTTTAAGTCTGGCGTAGAAACTCACGATCGCGTCGGCAAGCCTGATGCATTCCAGCCTTGGTCATCTGCTCCAAAAATGAGGAGCTTTGTTTAATTCAGTTTAATTTTCGTTTTCCTAATGAACATGAATCTCTAGAACGTGATAATTAACAAAAAGGGTTACCAAGAAGTCAATCGCTAGTTGTACTGACACTGGTTCACAGCACGACATAATTAATCGCACTGTCTTGTTGACATGTTCCGGCTTCTTAAGACTTATATCTCGTCGTGCCTCAGACAGTGCCTAGTCCGTTGTTACTCCCAAAAAACGCGATGAGGTGTTGGGACGGAATGTTGTGCAAATATGTTTTTCGAAGCGCCAATTTTTCCGATAAACTGAAGTAATTAAGCTTAGCATTAGGGGGAAGAAAACGGAATTCTTTGATGGTCGAGGATGATTCGACGGAAGGCAGGCTGGACAGACCGTTAGAATGAGACTAAAAAGGAAGGAGCATTGGCGGGAGGGAGGAGTAAAAGAGTTGTGAGCACTATCCAAATCAGATTATTCATTTTTCCGATTCGCCTGGATATTACGGCTGATGATCGGCTAAATGTGGATTAAAAAATCCACCATGAAGAAAAATTTTGGAACAAATACCAATTATTGGGGTGCACTCCAAAAAGTAAGCAAAGTGATTGTTTTCTGACGGCAGCAACGAACTCTCGCGCTCCGGCGCCGAATTATTCAGCATATATGATGGTTTCTTGAAGATTAATGCAAGCGCTGGCTGCGAGCATTGGTTCTAAAAATCATTTGTTATATTTAGAAAACTTCGATTATTCCAAATTATATCTGATTATAATATTCGTTTAGAAGCGCTGAAGGCATGGTACGTGAGAAGCTGCGCTGTTATCATGCAGTAGGTCGAGGGTTCGACTCTGCCGATGGGCACCCTCTGCAACTCGTTCATTTTTCGATGGCAAATCGGTACTGCAATATGAGAATGAGTCAAACCCGCCAGCAGCATGCTTTTAGGCAACCCTTAAAAAAGGTAGCCATTGGCAGCTCTGCAAGCGAGTCTGCTGCAGCCCAGACTACCGTTGAGTGCCTCCGCCCCTGTGGTAAGTGAATACGAAGGGATTTTTGTTCTTTTTTTTTTGTCATAGTGTTTGATATTTTAACAGCATGTTACACATCGCTGCTCGAGTGGCTAAACTCGAAAGCAGTTTTGAATCATCTCACTTTTCTTCTC